TACCAGCTGCACTCTATCTACAGTAACCGATGTCCTGCATGCCTATCAATTCTATGCAGGCGTACGACACTCTTACTAATAAATGTATGTCACGTGGCCACAGTAACAGTCTGAACACCATATAATGCATTTTTGAAATTAAATGTTGAATATATTTGTTGATGCATTACTTGTAATATTATGTTTGACGCTAAAAATATTATGTTTACATTTATTAAGCCAATATTATTATTACATTATTACTAATTAAAAATATATTAAACCTAATAACGAGTAAGTTTTAATAGAAGATGCAACTGAGTTTCTTTGCCCTAATAACGAGTAAACCTAAAACTTTTGCTTTGACAAGACAACACATTGCTTAACAGTTGCTCTCTGTCTAGTGAACTGATTCCCTGCATGCCTACGATGACCCAGCCTGCAGGCCTACGATATTTTTACTCTGCATGCAACATGCTTGAGAAGACAACACATTGCTTACCAGCTACACTCTGTCTATAGTAACCGATGCCTTGCATGCCTACAATGACTCTGCATGCCTACGATGACCCTGCCTGCAGACCTATGCGATTCTTACTCTGAATGCAACATACTTGACAAGACAACACATTGCTTACCACCTGCACGCCTCAAGTGCATCAAGACACTTGCCTCACATGCATTTATAAGTCACGTGCATCAAGACACTTGCTCTGCATCTAACTACATGTCACATGCATCAAGACACTTGCTTTGCATCCAACTACAGGTCACATGCATTAGTGGAATATAAATAAAGGTTCTTTACCCAGCAAAATCTGCTCACACTCAAACTCTCAAACTCTCAAATTCTCAAACTCTCAAACTCTCAAACTCTCAAACTCTTAAAGTCTCAAAGTCTCAAACTCTCAAACTCTCAAATTCTCAATTTCTCAAACACTCAAACTCTCAAAGTCTCAAACTCTCAAACTATACTCACCCAATAAATTCTTAAACCACAATGTCTCTACTCACAATGGGAAACTCTCACAGAGGCACGATTGAGAACACTGTTGAGTTTGTAAGTTTTTAGTTTTTGTCTATGTTTACGATCTTTAGTTCTCCTATAAAACTAACGAAACATTATTTATTTTGCAGGATGCATCAAGGGTTCGATGTCGTGTGCATGATTACATACCACACGACCCCCTCATAGAGGGATACCTTCAACATTGTGGGTTTGGTAATTTGATTAAAATCAAATCATACTCACTCGATACGAAGTTAATTCTAGCATTGTTAGAACGCTGGAGACTAGAGACACATACATTTCACCTACCTTTCGGTGAGTGCACTGTGACTCTTCAAGATGTCTACATGTTGCTCGGCCTACACATCAATGGTAAGGTCGTCAACGACAAAGTTGGTGTTAACGACCAACTTTGCAAAGATTTATTGGGCGCCCCTCTTTGTATGGACACAACTGAGGGAGAACGCGAGGGTCACCTGAGTGGTCAGGGAATAAATCTTAAGTACCTCAGACAACAATACAACAATATTGTCTTAAGTGATGATAACACCGACTATGAGAAAATAGTCAAAACTCGGTGCTATATTATGATTTTATTTGGTCATTTTTTATTTCCAGAGGGCACTGGAAATATCGTAAATATTATGTATTTACCATTGCTACAAAACATAAACAAAGTGTGCGAATATAGTTAGGGATCAGCTGTCCTCGCCCATCTATATATTGCACTGTGTAAAAATTCCAAAAAAAAATCATGTACCTTTTATGGCTGCGCCTATCTCCTTCAAGTGTGGGGTTGGTCTAGGATGCCAACGCTTGCTCTAGTAAACTTGAATCCGTTTACATTCCCGTACACCAACAAGTAAGTTTCTTTTTCAAGACTATTCAGCAACCAAAGTTTCTTTGTAAGTTAACAATTTGTGAGATGTGTTTTAGATGCTAACTTATATGTGTTTCTTTTTTTTAGGTGGTCTGTTCCAAGGATGAATTATCAGAGATGTCCCAGGAACTCCATAATTGTGTACCGGAATCTCATGGACCACCTTGGGCCAGATGATGTAAGTTATCTACCTTTACTTTGTCTAACTTATATGCATAAACTTGTTTATCTTTGTCTGACTAAATGTATCTACCTTTATTGTAGTTTGTCTGGATGCCGTACGAGGGTCTCGACCACCAGCCCGACGCCAATGATGTTGTTGTGTAGACATCAAAAACACCCATAATTAGGTTCACTATGGTGGAGATGCACCAAAGTGACCGGGTGAAGCTACAATTTGGGATGCATCAGGATATTCCAGATGCTCCGACATCATTGAGGTAGTGGCATCAGCAACGGGTGGACTCATAGTGGAGTGTCAGTCATTGGAAGGAGTTTGCGAAGGAGATGTGTCAACATTGGAAGAACAGAAGGCAACACATCTTAACTGACCAAATTGTGGAAGGGGCTAGGCCAAGTTATCAATATATGACTTGGTTTAGGTCGGTTACAACATCTCATCCAATTCTGTCGGAGCCAACTTATTTGATTGACCAAGGCAACGCGCTTCTTCATCAAACACACAACAACAGTCCAATGCCCAACATCAGCCTTACCATAACCCATACATGCCACCAAATGCCCAACATCAACAAGAACATCCTTACCATGACCCGTACATGCCACCCACCTAGTCACAACATCAACCGCCATACCAATATAGCCCTGATACGTCTTTTGACCCTACCCCTCCACCTATAGCCCAGATAACTCATTTGACCATACCCCCTCCAACTATCTACTATTTGACTACCAAACCCCACAACAACCAACACATCATTTCCAACCCAATTCGATGTACGAATTCAGACAATCATACCGTCCATACTCCACCCAACCTCCCCGACAATCCTACGAAAACATGGACATTGGGCTTAACTACGGAAGCGCCGTTGATAGTGGACCTCCCGGCCATTGGGGTCAAATGCTTCAAAATTTATCTGATACGCCTGGGCCGTCCCAACAAAATCCTCCTCCACAACTCAACACACAAAGACCAGACACACCACAGCAACCTCGTCGTAACGCGCATCCTCCACAATGTGGCACCGGTAGTCGCTTGGATAGAGCCGCCCATTAGTTTTTTTTGTTCAATTGTAATTTTTATTATATTGTAAATTAATATATTTTAATATTTATTACATGTCTATATTTTTTAATGTTATTTAAATTTCAATTAATTATGAAAAACATAAACTATAATTTAATATTTATTCCATTTCTTTTTCTTTTTTTTCATTATTTACATTTTAATTAATAATGAAAAACAAAAAACATAATGTAATATTTATTTCATTTTTTTTAACATTATTTAAAATTCAATTAATTATGAAAACTAAAAAACATAAATTATTTAAAATTTAATTTGTATAAATATTTTAACTAAACCTATTCATATTTATATATTTTTAAAATAATTTAAATTTAATTTAATTATTTTTTTATTATTTAAATTGAAAATCAATTCGTACACCTTAAAACGAAAAAAAATAATAATAATTGGGTCAAGTTGCCAAACAGAATGGCGACTCCCTTGGGCCACATAGACTCTGTCGCCAATTCATTTGACGAGTTCAATTAGTATAGCTTGAATCGCCAATTGAAGTGGCGACCATTTTGATACATTTTTTAAAATTTTAATTTATTTATATATTAAAAAAATTCACATAATTCTCTAAAAATTATCATCTTTAAGTACAAATTGTAATTGACAAATATATTCAATAGTGTTTCTTAAAACATTTATTTAATATCCTAAATCAAAGCCAAGTTCTACATTGGGTCAAAACTAGTAAAAAATACACGGTTTGATAACTCAACCTCAAAGATTTTTGTTCTATTTTTAACTAGAATTAATAAAATGATTATATTTCAGAAAACACCATAAAAAAAAAAAAAAAAAAGAGAACACTGTATAGACCAAACTACTAACGTACTAGAAAAATAAGACAAAATACACGTGTCAAACATTCACTATACAACGATCATAAAACACATATTACTCACAAATATAGCCTATTAACAACAATTAGACTTAGAATTTCTAGAGCAAATTCATGGCCAATTAAATGATGTGTTATGCCATTCAAGAAAGCTATTTGAACACCTCAAAGGTGTCCCACACCTTATTACTATACGGCTGTGGTGTTTAGTAGTATTTATTTCTCTTTCTTTAAATTATAGAAAAATTTAACCAAGTGACAAAATATAGTAAAATTTGGATCGATGAATTATAATGAAGTAGCGTAGAACATAATATAATGGAGCGGAATAAAATAAAATATAGATTTAATTTTATTATTTATTTATTTTATTAAAAATATTTCATTCTATCACCTACATTCTAAATTACATGGAAAAAAAATTAGATAAAATGTGATAAAATAAATTTCATCATATTCCATTTTCTTCCATTCTATTTTATTTCATCTCATACCATAAATCCATAATCTTTACGTGTTTAATTTTGGATATTCATATATCACTTCTCTATGCTATTTTTTTTACAAATACCACTTTTAAATCATGTTTTTGACACATTACTTCATTCTTTAAACTATCATTTAACTTGCAATTTATCCTCTTTTTTTTTTAATAATGCTGCATGCAAATTGTACTAAACCAATTCTGTTTGAGCATTATACTTTACTTTATTCTAGAAATATCGTTGGATTATCACTCCAGATCTTAAAAAAGATGAAGATATGTTATATAGTATTTATTTAAAATGCAGAATGCTCAACAAATGGATCTGTGGCGCAATGGTAGCGCGTCTGACTCCAGATCAGAAGGTTGCGTGTTCGATTCACGTCAGGTTCATAATTTTTTCCTACACTTTTTCAACAAAACGCAGCGTTTTACACATATTCGCATTTTCATTTCTCACACTTTCTTATTTTCTCTAAACCCTTCGTCTCCATCATTTTTTCACTGCAAAACCCTAACTAGTATTCTCCACCTTCAACTTCATCAATGGCGTCTCGTCTCCGCCACGCCTTCCGCCACTACTCAACAATCCTCTCTCCAAACTCCTCAACCCCCCTAACCTCAAAGGAAAAAACAAGATCCGCCCTCCGTCTCCTCAAATCCGAAACCAATCCCGAAACAATCATCGAAATCTGCCGCGCCGCATCTCTAACTCCCGAATCTCATCTCGACCGCCTCGCTCTCTCCCGCGCAGCGTCCAAACTCACCGCCGCGAAACACTTCGACGCACTCCGTCAATTCATCGACGAGCTTCTCCAGACTCGCTCCGACCTTCGCAACGAACGGTTCGTCTCCCATGCTATCGTTCTCTATGGCCAAGCAAACATGATTAACCAAGCTCTCGGTACTTTCAATTTCATGCGTGAGAATCTCAACATTGTTCCAACGGTGAAATCGCTCAATGCGTTGATACTTGCTTCGCTCATTGCTAAGAATCACAAAGAGGTAACGCGAATTTACCTTGAGTTTCCTAGAATTTATTCGATTCAACCTAATGTTGATACGTATAATTTGGTTATTAAGTCTTTTGCTGAATCTGGTTCGACTAGTTCTGTTTTCTCGATTTTGGATGAAATGGATAGGAATTCTGTTAGGCCTAATGCTACAACAATTAATAATTCGATTGGTGGATTTTATAATGAGAAGAAGTTTGAGGAAGTTGGAAAGTTGTTGAATTTGATGGAGGAAAGGTATAAGCTGTATCCGGGTCTTAGTACTTATAATGTTAGGATTCAGAGTTTGTGTAAGTTGAAGAGATCTTCTGAGGCTAAGGCTTTGTTTCAAGGGATGATTACGAGAGGGAGGAAGCCGAATTCGGTTAGTTATTCTCATTTGATTAATGGGTTTTGTAGGGAAGGGGATCTTGAAGAGGCGAAGAGGTTATTTGCTGATATGAAGAAAAGAGGTTTTAGGGTTGATGGCGAATGTTATTTTACCTTGGTTTATTTTCTGTGCGAGAGTGGGGAGTTTGAGTCTGCTTTGGAGATTGCTAAGGAGTGTATTGGTAAAGGTTGGGTTCCAAATTTTACTACAATGAAAAAGCTTGTGAATGGGCTTGTTGGTGTTTCAAAGGTTGATGATGCTAAAGAGGTTATTAAGGAAATCAAGGAGAAGTTTGCTGAAAACAGTGAGCAGTGGAGTGAAATTGAAGAGGGGTTGCCTCAAGAATGAAGAGTGTTGTAGTCTGGTTCTGTTATTTTTTGGTAACTTTTATCAGGAATCAGCATAGAAATGGAATTCTTTTGTTTTGCCATTTCCCTCGGCTTCTTGGCGTTTTGCTCAATCCATTGTTTGCTGGTGATGTGCTAAGTTAGTTTTGTATGTTTACAGTCACTTTCTTTGTCAGGGTAATAAAATTGATTGGAAATGGTTACGCCGATAGATTTCTAATTCATCTTTGATGTACTTCTTTCAATTACATTATCTCAACTGTATTTTTTCTTGTTTAGAGGAAAATGCTAACCTACATGAGAGTTCGTGCAGACCTGTATATTTTTATTACTATTACTCAATTTTTGGTTTCTTGTTCTGCCATTCTCTCTCTGCAGTTTGTTGGAAATGATAATTGCTGTTGATATATATGAGCCTTGTCATTGTAGTTCTTGATTGTTTATTTGAATCAAGCAATTGACGAGTCTGCGTGTTCTGTTCTACTGAAATTGTCACATAATTCTCTGTTTAACTTCTTAGACAATATCTTCACTGTCTGCTGTTAAACGCCCAAGATCACATCTTTCTTGGTCAAGGTTATAGGTAGTTATAGATCCGTGTTCACGAACTCATATTTGTATGTCCCTGCACTATAATGCAATTATATGCATTCTCATTGTAATAGATTCTTTAAATTTTGGCTAACATCTTCAACTCTGCATGTTCAGAAAATCAAAATAAACCAAATCAAATAGGACGTTGAACCGAACCTGGCCTCAAAATAATCCATGTTTTCAAACAAACCTGGCCTCAAAAACTTGATCTAACCTTTTTAAAATGATTCGCAAACTTGAGTTAATTTTGTTAACTAGTTCAAGGAACCAGCCAAACCTATTTAAGAGTACTATTGCAAAGCCAGTTAGAATGCCAAGCCAAGTGATTTGTTCCTTTAGTTGTAATCCGATATTGACAGCTACATAATAGGGTGCCAAAACCATTCTTAAGATCTGATTGTTTATCAGTAGGTGTTAGGCGTTGCATGGATCATTGTCAAACTTAGTTGAATTGTTTATCAGTAGGTGTTGTTTAGCTGATTTGTTCACTTTTTAGTTTTTAGACACTCACATTAGAAAAACATGCATGTACTCTCTTTAGTGTATGTTTGGATACACGTCCAACTTCCTATTCGTGTGTTTCAAGGCTATGCCACCATGAAAATTGAGAAGCAACAAAACCAAGCTTCTGCGGTATTGTGCTTTTCAAGGCTATGCCACCGTGAAAATTGAGAAGCAACAAAACCAAGCTTCTGCAGTACCGTGAAAATTCACCGCTCTTTTGGCAACTGCACCGCATATCCGAACATGCTATTAGTCTCAAATGCAAGTAAAAATCAGTTTTTAAATTAATTGAATAATGAATGTATTTGATATATATTTGAAAACGGAAGACATACCAGTTTAAAAATGTTAGTGGTCTCAACTGCAGTTCAGGCTGTGAGAATGGACAGGAAATTAAAGCCTTGGAGTATCAGCTAAGCATGGAGTTCAATGTGTAATATCATTACTGCTATGAGGCTTAACATAATCAATATAATCCTAAACTCAACAATTTTGTTTATCTAACATTTGAATGCTAACTTGATGACACCAATTTTTGGATCTCTATCCTGTTCGGCTAATTTAGATTGGTTTCTAATTGACAGCCTTTTTCAATTAAAATAAACTTATATCTAACTGTTCACGTAATTTTCTCCTTATCATTTAGAAAAATTTAATAATAGTGAAAGTTACTTATTTGACTGAAACATAGAAATTGATTTTTAAGAAAAAAATGAAATACAAAAAAGAGTCCTTTTCGGACTGAATGAGACAGCATGTCCAAAAGCTTATTTTTCAAATGAAAATTTTTAAAGAGAATTTTTTTAATGCATCTTATATTACTAATATACTACGTGAATATAATAAAATGTCTTTAAATTTCGGAGATACATATTCAGACACATTTAATACACACACAACCTAAGTCATTGTTATTGATGTCCTAGAAGTTGGACTTTTTAAAATCCGAAAACTGTTTGTAGATGCATTTCTGTAACATATGTGCGACAATATTAGAGATGAAATCTGTTCGTAGATGCATTTCTGTAACATATGTGCAACAGTATTAGAGACAAAAAAAATTGTATTTTGACAAAATAAAATTACTATTTATAACATAAAATCAACATTAAATAGATGATTTCAACATAAAATGAAATATTACACTTCAATATTCAAGTGAACGCTTCAACATCTTTACAATACTTTCGACCGATCTTGAAATCGTCGCTTCCAACTCGAGCGGAACTTTTGTTTCGAAACAGAAAAATATATTCCATATATCCCTTACATCTGCATACATCTTGAGCTCAAAGTTGTTGAACTCAATCTTTTCTCCGTTGTTGACGATGAACGGTACTCGAACTTGACAATTTTTTGATTGTCTCCGTAAGACTATGGACTTCGTATTTCAGATCTGCAAAAGAGGTGCACTCATTGAACTTAAACTTTCACTCAAGTGTCGCGTTGGAGAATGAGACATTTACGACATATCAAATGATGTTTATTTATGACATTTGAGACATGCTCTATTTGTGTGAAATAAAAAATCAGAGTCCTAAAATTTATAGAAGTTGTAGACAAATGTGAACCACAAAAATTCTATCAAGCATCAATGTTGATTTCAGAGATATATATCAGGTATCACCATATTGTCTTATATCAAAGATACATCTCTGAAACCTCTCCTGAACTAGGCATAAAGAACCAAGCAGAAAACAAAACCTAATTAATGACTTTATTTCGCAAATGAACAAATATTTTGACAAAGATAAAAAATGTATTAAAATATTAAGAAATTGATGCATTACACTTCATTAATATTGAGACACAATTACTTACACTTATTTGTCTAGGTAAAAAAAAATTTAACGAATCAAAAGATTTGTCGCCGGCTAAATCTATTGGTGGTATCTCCTTTGACTTTTGTGCATTTAATTCCCTTTCAAAGTTGCTCAATTTCTCGAACTCTTGTATCCTTTCCATAAAATGGTCTGACCAAGTTTCAGCTTTTGTTGTTGAATGAGTTGTCCACTCCGGTGATGTAAATGGTATAGGGCATCCCGATTTCAAGTAAATTCGACAAAATGTTGTGATTTTGAAAGCCACCAAATACACATAATACGATCTTTTGGATTTTTAGGTAGGGTGGTGCGCAGTGGAAAAAAGATCTTCGAAAAATCGTATTGTGTAAGGTCAATACAAACTCTATCATACACACATGCTATATGGTAACTCATGTCAGGGAAGTGCATCAATTTTGCCTCTGGTGCCGGTCTACTAAGGCAAGGAACAAGAGACTCATAAATTGTATCAAAATTTTCTTTCGTTCCATAAAGTTGTGTGTATGAATCTTTATGAGTCCTCAACTCATGGATAAGTTGACGACGAACAAGTATATGATTATCTTCTCCTTTACCGAATAAATCTGAAACAACTCAATAACAACAATCACCGTCACCCTCAATATTGATGATCCGCTCGATGTATTTGTGCATAAAAATTAGTATTTTGTCAATGAATTGAATCTTTGATGGAGGTGGTGAAGGAGGTGGTTTCTTAATGCGAGCTCCTTTGAAAAACCTTTTTTTGTTGAAGATTTTGGAGTTGGTGAGCCCGAAAAAACTTTGTCAACATGTTCAAAATACAAAGGAGACCGCACCGTTGAATTGAAACTCTGTGTAGGCTTGGGCTTCTTTAGAGCACCGTTTGTTTTTATCGATTGAGAGGCTGGTTTCAATTCGGTGGTTTCCGGATAAGCAATCTTCCTCAATTATTCTTTGATATGGAGTTTCATATTGTCACCGACTTTCAAAAATCTCTCTTGTATCACTTTTCATTCGGTTAAGATAGAGATATTCGATTTACCGTTTTTATGACACTGTCATCACAAAACCTAAGACTCTTACTGTGAGTGCAAACATCATCCATTCTTATCGAGCTACCAAGTTTCACATTTTTGGCAATAACACAAGCACATGTGAGACCATATGTTTTCACAATTGTGCATCCATACTTTGCGCTATCGGAGCCTACATTATCAGCTCGTTTAGCTTTGTGAAAAATATAATTCAAACACGCTCGAGATATGTTATCGACCAACTCAGAATAAAGATTGTTGTCTTTAAATTCGTGTTCAAAAACTGTGATGATTCGACCAAATGGTGTATGTATCTCATTATATTGATTCTGAATCATTTGGTTCACAGAGTCTCAATATTTACACAAATCACCCTTACTATTTCCCAACAAATTCTTCAATGTAGCATGGAAAAACTCAACTCGACTTGTTGTTGTATTCCCAAGGTGTCTAATCAGATCGGTCTATACACATACAATTTTCTCCTTCATCTAGTAAAGAATTGTGTTTTCAACATATTTCAACGAATTGAGATATTTCACGCACACCTTCGTGAAATGTATAACAGAATCGACATATAACTCCTTAGTGGAAGAATTTACAATATCATTCCATGCATTTCACAACCACACCCGTCTTCACTATTTTTCCATCTTCATACTTTATTTGTTTCGTCCTTAACACAGGTTTAACCCGGCTTTTCACATTCTTTATTAAATGATACCTACAAAGTAATGCATAAGAAGTATGAAATATCTTTGCAACGGAATTCATCAACGTGATATCGCGGTCGATAAAAGTAACTTTAGGCATCTCTTCTTGATCATTCAACATTGCTTGACACACGTCTAAGGCCCAAGTAACATTCTCCTATTTTTTGCTTTCCAAAAATGCAAACCCGACATAATAGGTCTTCTCAATAGAGGTAACACTATTCATCTACAATAATGGAAGTCTGCACTTGTTGGTCTTGTACGTCGAATCAATTATGAGAACATTAGGAAACGTGTTGAACAACTTGATGAAATAAGGATGAGTCCAAAATATATCTCCAATGGTTACTT